CAACAAGATGGATTGACACTGTGGCTGCAACAATGGGCTCAAGCATAACAACGATTGTGAGGATGACGCAGGTCCAGGCAGTGTTTTGTTCTGTTGTACGTAGGGTCAGTATGAGTCGGAACCAACTCGACGGCACCTAACAACAACAACAAGCTACTTGTCACCATCCCCTCATATTATGACAGAACTACTGTTGAAACTGTGCATAACGTCAGGTCAATGACCACTCCCTGGTGTGGTGGAGACTAGCCAGAAATCCAGTATATCAGGGGCACACAATTATCCAGACATAACCCTGAATTCTTGTGGCAATGTATTACCCTGTAGTAGTTTGTTGTTGTTAGTTACCTTCAAGTTCAGGCCAACTCATGGCAAACATATGTACGACCGAGTGGAACAATGTCTTGCCCTGTGTCATCCTCACAATTGCCAACATGTTCCAGTCCATCACTGTGGGTATTGTGGCAATCCATCTTACTGAGAGTCTTCTATGCCTTTATTGGCCCTCTACTCCACCCAACATGATGTCTTTCTCTATCAACTGGTGCCTCCTGCTATATCCAAATAAGGGAGTCAGACAATGTTCCGTTGTGATTCATAAGGTTTTCATTGGCTAATTTCCAAAGTAGATCACCAGGCCTTTCTTCCTTGTCTATCTTAGCCTGGAAGCTCCACTGAAACCTGTCCACCATTCATGATCTTGTTGGTATTTAAAATACCAGTGGCACAGTTTGCAGCATCACAGCAACATGCAAGCCACAATACAACAAATAGGTGCGTGGTGGTATGGTAGTTTATTAACACATAATTTGGCAAAGTGCTCACATGTTCCTTCTCCGTTTGGGTGCTCGAGGCACACGGGCCTTATTTCCCTCTCCCATCATAGGGTCTTTGTACATGCTACTTCTTGGATGGAAAGATCTCTTCCTCTTGTCCAAATTAGCTCTTGCTCTTGCTTGAAGTATTGGCTCATTCCTCAGGGGAGACATTTCCAAGCACTCTTACCCTGTCAACAATAGTCCTCTGTTTACCGATAGATCTCTGCTTCATAAAATTTATCACCATTGAAATTTTCAATTTATTGGTATCACTGATTGATCAGTTTCTCTCTCTACCACTTACTTCTAAGCACCACAACAATAGGGAGCCATGCATTTTTTTCTCTCATCATTGGTTCCCTAATGCACAGTGTTTGTCAGATATTATATATTGTAGTTACTTGCTGTCGAGTCAGCCCCCAACTCATGGTGAGCCCATGTGTTACATAGTGAAACAGCTCCATAGGGTTTTCTTGGTTGTAATCTTTATGAAAGCAATTCACTAGAACTTTCTTCCATGGAGTTGCTGAGTGAGTTCAAACCATCAACCTTTTTTTTAGCAGTCAGTTGCAAACTGCTTGTGCCACCCAGGCTCCTTTAGATATTATATGTTGTTGTCGTTGTGTACTGTCCAGTCAATTAGACTCATAGCGACCTTAATCTTTAAGGGAGCAGATCATCAAGTCTTTTCTCCCATGGAGGCGGAGCGGCTGGTGGGTTTGAACTGCTGACCTATAGGTTAGCAGCTGAGTGCTTAACCATAGTGCCACCAGGGCTCCTTAGATATTATATAATAGTATTCAATAAATATTTTTAATTGTTAGTTTATTTTTCTTTTAAGGCATTTTCTTTTATGTTAGTATGTATGAATGTAGGGAAAACGCAACGACAACAAAACCTGGTCCTATAAAACAAAAAAACAAGCACCCTGAGAGCTAGACAAGGGTTCACTGTACATTTTGCATTTTGCTATCTAACGTATTTTGACATAGTGGAGAACATAGGTTACATGGGTGAGAAGGCTGTTACTATTTCACCTATTAGAAATGCTGGCCTTACATAAGCTTCAAAGTTGATTAAAAAAAAAAAAAAATCTGTTTATATTAGCTGAGGTGAGCAAAGGTAGCTAAGGCTCTGATAAACATAGGTCTGGATACATTTTGAATGAATTTCCAAAATTTTCACTCTAAGAACTTCTTTCAGGAAGGAGAGATTACATAAATCTCTTCTAGAATCCATTTGTCAGCATAGGTGAGTTTCATATAATTGGTCATATTAAAGAGCACAAACAGTCTGCAACCAATGGGATGAATTATAAGACAGGTAAATTTTAAGAGGGTAGGGAAAGGATTAAGGGTGAGGGTCAACATATCAGTGAGGTCTAATTAATTTCGTAAGTACTAATTACATGCTAAGTAGAAGTAATATTCTAAAACATTTCTTGTACTGATTGTTCCTAATGTATTGGAGAAAAATGAAAATAAAGAAAGAACTTGATTTGGAGTAAAGAGGCCTGATTTATAGTTCCAACCTGCCAACTATTTCTTCAGGAAGGGACAAGCTGTGGATAACTGGGAAGAAATGAGTGGGAAGTTGAGGTTCTGACTAATAGTACTATGAAACAAACGGTTATGGCTAATTTGTGAAAAATAGAAGGTAGTGGAATAAACATTAGCTACTTTGAAAAGTTAATCTTTAAGGAAAATAATCAGATCATGAATTATTTAACAAAAATATTAAAATCATATGTTTTTGTATGACTACTCCCAGATAAAGATCTTATTTATTTATTTATTTTTTTCTGGGAGGGAGAGTAAAGGGTTTTGTGGGACATAAAAGAAGCCGAAGGTTATCAAATAAATTTATAATCTGTCTGTGTTACTAAACTGAGTTACTTTGGATAAATTGGCATCTCTTTTAAGACATTTTTTAAAAATGTAAAATTAATTTGATTTTCATCAAAAACTAATTATTAAACAATTTGAACCATGACCCTTTTAAATGAAAATTATTTGAATGGTTAGGGGTGGACTTGGTGGTGGGAGAACTTAAAAAAGAAGGAAGATAAGAAATTGCACTGCAGAAAACGCACAAGCTAAATCACATCCACTATTCCAGAGACTTTGTATTCTAATTCTTAAAGAGAAGTTCAGCAGTTGACACAGGGTCTCTGGAAGATTTACAACTTCAGTTGGTTAGATAATCTCTGTTTTCTACAACTTTAAGACCTTAGGAGAAGAAAAATAATAGTCACCCTATGCTAAGTTGAAAAAAGCCATGTTTGGTAGGAGGACTTGGGACATATTTCAAATCCTTTCACTTCTTATAACAGCTAAAAGATTAATAAACATACCTTCCCTAAAGCCCTGCTGGGAACGTAAAATACTATCATGTAATCACAAATCATCAGCATTAGACCGTTGCTCAAAGCAGTCTATCTCAAATACTAGAATTACTTTGTTTCTTTTACCTGTCTGTCTTGTGGGCTTTTTATCATTTAGTTGCTCTGATAGGTGTCCCCCACCCCCACTTTTCCCTAACTCTTGTGGTCTATTGTAGATAATTTATATAGAATAATTTACCAGTTGTCTTGGTCATCTAGGGCTTCTATAACAAAAATACCACAAGTGGATAGTTTGAACAAAGAGAAATTTATTCTCTCACAGTCTAGTAGGTTACAAGTCCAAATTCAGGACATCAGCTCCAGAGGAACACTTTCTTTGTCGGCTGTGGAGGAAGGTCCTTGTCATCAATCTTCCCTAGGTCTGGAAGCATCTCAGCACAGGACACGCTCTGCTCCCGGCACTGCTTTCTTGGTGGTATGAAGTCCCCAATTCTCTGCTTGCTTCCCTTTCCTTTTATCTCTTGGAGGATAAAAGATGGTGCAGGCCACACCCTAGGGAAACTCCCTTTACATTGGATCAGGGATGTAACCTTAGGAGAGGTGTTATACAATCCCACCCTAATCCTCTTTAACATAAAATTACAATCACAAAATGGAGGACAACCACAGAATACCGGGAATCATGGCCCAGCCAAACTGATACACACATTTTTGGGGGGACATAATTCAATCCATGACACCAGTCCACCCTATAATTTAATGGAGGGAAGTAGAAATTTACGCCACTCTTGATTTTATAGTTAAGAAGATTCATTGTAGTCACAAGGCTTGCTCAGACTCCCATGACAATGAATTAGTAGCACTGTGGTTAGGACACCCTTCCCCTGACTCCAAAGTCCAGTAACTTTATCACATACCCTAGAAAACTTTGCATAGGAAGATGCTGTATAAGTCACTACACAAATAGAAAGTATTTGTAATGATGGATTGACACAGTGGCTGCAATAATGGGCTCAAGTATAACAAGGATTGTGAGGATGGTGCAAGACTGGGCAGTGTTTCATTCTGTCGTACATAGGGTCGCTATGAGTCGGAACCAACTTGATGGCACCTAACAAGAACAACAATGTATAAACAGAAATACATGCAATTGTACAAGACCTCTTTGTTACCCGAATAGGGTCTGTACCCTGGGCATTCAAGCCAATGAAACATACTCCAAGTCAGAAAGAATGAGAAAGTTTTAATTCAGGAAGTGTACACCACTGGAGATCCAGCAGCAACACAGACTCTCTATGGAGTCCCCAAAGGCATTTTTACATCAGAGCTTATATATGATTTTTATGAAGGTTAGACATGTTGTTATACGTTGTAAAGCAATTACAAGAGACTCTTTATTATACTAACAAGATACAGGCTGGACACTTCCTTATCTGACATCTGAGCTCTAATCTTCTTGCAGGGGAACCTAAGTCACAAAACAAAGTCATTAACAAAAGTTTGCACAAAACAAAGCCATTAACAAAGGGAGAAGGCAAAAAAAAAAGAAAAAAAAAACTTCAGAGTTTCATCATGGCGTTAGTTATGTCAAGCTCTCAGTCGCCCATTTTGAAAAGGAGAAGATGTGCTGGGGAGTATTAGGGTCACACTCTTTAGCTTTTACAATACCATCTCTTCTTCCACTGACTTATACTGCACAGTATTGTGATTTAACACTGCTAGATCTAGAGTAATGGCGATGCTATTGAAATATTAATTTAATTTTTAGTTTAATTGATACAATTAAAGTACAGAATTTTTAATATTCTACATTTTATTTAAAATGTAGACTCTCAAAAATGGACAACAAGCTAGATGTCTTCAGGAGGGAGTTAGTGGATGTCCAGGGTGTTCCCCTCTTCTGGAGCATTGCTCAAGAGTGGACCCAGGTGGAGTCATTTGAGGCCCGACCAGATGACCTTCTGATCTCCACCTATCCCAAATCTGGTACGTCCTTTTCGTTTATTTGTGTTCACTGACTACAAATGTGTAAACCCAAAGACCTCTGGATTGCTAGTCAGGTCTTCCCTGAGTTCGTTAAACATTTATCAAGGGGCACTGTGGCAGTTGCTAGGCTAGTCTGATCTTAAGACAAATTTACTTCCCATTCTGAAAGGCTAGTGATCAAATGGAAGATATATCTGAAGGGAAATTAATGCTGTAGTCTTTTATAAATTTTTTTTTATTTGAATAAAAATTACTAAAAATGAATTTATACTATCTGTACATTTTCATGCTTACATATTTTGTTTATAAATTGAAACAACTGTCAGCCTGAAATAAGATCTCGGGAAGAAGAGTTTAAGATAACTCAATAAGAATGACTTTTATTTCTATTTATGACAGACAGATATATTTATGACAAACAATTTTCTGACTCACCTAGTGATAGATGTACAGAGAAATATTAGTGACATGAGGCTCTCTCTCTCTATCTGATTAAATTACCTGAACCCATAATCAATCTAGTTACTAAACCCTCTAAAGTTAACTTTCCTTTAGAGTCCTACCTCATTCCTTAGAAGGTTTAAGGAAAGTAAATTTTTAATATGTATACTGACTCCTGATCTTCTTTTTAGACTGTAAATAACAAATTTATTTCAAAGGAACATGTAACAAGTCCTGAGAAGACAGCCCTGTATTTGCAGATGGTAATGTATCCAAATCACAAACACTGAGTGAGAGCAAAGGGCTTCTAGAAGAAACCAAACAAATGCACATCATAGGCCTTTGTAGATATAAAAAACAACCTTGTTTTGGCAAAATATTTTTCTTTTCTTGCTACTCTACACTGCTTTCTGAGTAGTTCACCAAACTCAAATTATTTAGTGCCAAAAACCATGTTTCATTTCCTTGATGAGATACAAATTTAGAGACGGGAGGGAAATCACTGTCAATGAGCATACTCTATTGTTTTTGTTATTTTTGGATGTATTCAAAAGCAGGACCATTAAGACAACTGCTAGAAGTTACTGTTATACAAATAGTTCATTTATGAAGATGCCCTTTGGAGTGGAACTTTTTCTGGAATGGTAAAAGCTAAATGATTACTCATAGCTTGATTATGTTTTCTTTTGGTAGATTTCTTTTTCATTTATTTTGTGCACTTCAAACACTGTTGAGAATATCTTAAAGTTTTGAATATATCAGTGCCTTGTTAATTTTGTTATAAAAGTTTAACTGTTTCCTTATGTTAGTCAAGTCTTGTGCTCGTTTTCATTTTTTTTCTTTCAGAAATCACAGAAAAAAAACCTTTCCAATACAAAACATACAAAAGCTAAATTGACATTTGTTTCAATCAGATTTCACATGACCGGTTTGAACCGCCCACTGATAGGAGATGAAATGTGTTACAGTGCACTTTGGATTTAAGAACTTTTTCCGTTGCTCAAACCTAAGCCATAACGGCAAAGAAAAGTTCAAAATAGTATTGATTTTGGCTCACCTTTCTTTTACCACTGGAATTGTCTGTTAGAATGGTGGGGAGATTGCCTACTACTTATAATTTAGGGACAGGGAGACGGAGGTATTGTCCACAAGTATTGTCCATTACGAAGGGGGCCTAAGGAAGTTCGAATCCACCAGCCACTCTTTGGAAACCCTATGGAGCAGTTCTTCTCTGTCCTATAGGGTCACTATGAGTCGGAATCGATTTGATGAAAATGAGTTTGGTTTGGTTGTTTGGTTTAAGGTACTCTAATAACTGAAACCAACCCAAAGGCGCATCCGTGTATAGATCAGTCTTCAAAACTGCTGCTGTGTGCATGACTTAATTATTTTAATACTTAATCAGTTTAGTTTTTTAGTTTCCACCCATGAGTATTCAATTAAGGAACTATTCTTACACCTTTGAGAAAGTAAAAGGGGGTGGTAAGAGTTAAAAAGTTTTTATCCTATGTCTTATAATTTTTTTCTAGCAATGCCTAAATAACCTGATCATTAAGTGCATAGACAATTAAATATATCATATCTTCAAATACTTTAGGTCCATTTCTCAAAAGACTGGTGAGTCACAATATCATGAAGGGCAGAGTGATTTGTTCCACTCTACTGATTCAGGAGCCATTGTCTTTTGTTTGTGAGTTTTGTACTGAACACCACTAGTGAAATCAAAAAATTCCTCTTTTCTTCCCTCCACCAGATGTCAAGTATTTTTAACTCAATACTTTTCAGTCTAAAAGTCCAATAATTTTTTTTATATTAATAGGAAATGTGCAAATTAATGATCAGGCTTATTGAGGTAGGCTGCTTGGTGATCCGTCTTCTCCTTCTCCATTCATTCCACCCGGGGGGGTACACTATTATTAATTATATAGTGTCTCTTTAATACCCCCGTTTTACTTCCTTTTTAAGTCTTATTTTTATGATTGTTTTAATCAGAATTTCTACATACACAATGCATATATATGTGTTCAGAGTAAAAAAGGATGCTTCCTAGGAAAGGGGAGAAGAAGGAAGAGAGACGAAGGGGACATGAAGAGCAATTTTGCCTTAGGTGTTACAGAAATCTATTGCCTCTCTCATACTATTTTTGTCAGAAAAGTTTATAGAGTTTCTTTCTTTCTTTTTTTTTTCAGGAACAACCTGGGTCAGTGAAATACTGAATTTGATTTATAACGATGGGGATGCAGAGAAATGTAAACAGGATGCAATATATAAGCGAGTGCCATTCATGGAACTGATAATCCCTGGCCTCATGAATTTTATTTTCACTAAATTGTTCCTTTTCACCATAGATGTAAATTCTCCTATCTTTTTGTGATGTTTAGAGGAGTCATAATGGAAAATTGTGCAGACAGAGTTAGGACAGTTGAATTAAAATAGGGGTGGTGCAGTGGTTAAGCGTTTGGCTGCTAACCAAAAGGTCAGAGGTTTGAACCCACTATCTGTAGGAGAAAGACGTGGCAATCTGTTTCTGTAAAGATTTACACCCTTGGAAACTTATGGGGCAGTTCTACTCTGTCCTATAGGGTTGCTATGAGTTGGAATGGGCTTGCCGGCGATGGGTTTGGTTTAGTTTGGTGCATTAGACCAATCAGAAATTGGCTCTGCCAATAATCATATTACACTGCTCATTCACACAAAGATAATATCTGCATAAGAACATATTTTGATATAGTATATTTTTTCTCAGTAAAGAAGATGAAAGTCTTCAAGATTTAAATATTGTGCAATCATTATGTAGAGGAAATGCAATGTTTGGCTCAATATAGATTTATGTATATTGCTAGTTAGCTGATATTTACAAACTCAAGGAAAGGGACTATGGAAATTTATGGTTTTTCATTACTAAAATTTTTAAAGATAGGCAAGAATCTATCTTAGATTTAATTTGATCTTAGATTTTGAAGATCAGAGAGCTGGAAAGAAATTTTGAATTTTTCTGGTTCAATTTGGTCATATCATAATTGAGAAAAAAAGAAAGATAAATGAGGAAAAGTGTGGACATTTTGACTCTCGACCCACTGTTCCTTCTGTTCCATCAAGCTCTTGTGTCTGAGGACTTTATAGACACTTACAAAGACAATAAACCTCTGCTACTGATAGGTAGTAATAAAGCAGTCTAACTATGCAGAATTTATTATTTTTTGTTCTCATGGTAGATTTTAGGAGCATGTGAAGTCTAGCCATTTCAAACCATATAGTGGGATTAAAGTTCATAAAGTCTTAGATTATATTATAATTGACTTTTATGATTTTATATTTATAATATAGTTTGTTAATTTCTATGCTTGCAGGCATTGAGCAATTGAAAAACATGCAGTCTCCTCAGTAGTAAAAATGCACTTACCTGTTCTACTTCTCCCTTCTTCATTGGGGAAGAATAACTGCAAGGTAAGAAATTTTAAACAAAGCCATCCTTAATTGTACTGTAATTTCTTTTACTAATTATTCTGAAATGAAGATATGGTATTGCAACCTATGGATAAGTCATTGTAAAAATAACAATATGGATCCTATATCTCAGGGATTGAATAATACCAGTGCCTATAACGGTGGCTTAGTTTTACCAATGCTGTAGACAGGGATTAGACTCAGTGTCCAAACACTGAGGATCTGTCAGATTTCTATTTTCAAAGATGCCTGTCTTTCTAACTAAATCCCTTCAGTCATTGTCAACTGCTTTTAAAAAATTTATTTTTAATCGAATAACTGCCAAGTTTATTTCTACTGGTACATCCTAATTTACATTTATAAATAGGGTGAATTATAAATTATGGATTAGTTTTAGGCTTGTTTTTATAAACCTTTTTATCTGTATATTTTTTAATTTCTTTTTTTATTGTACTTTAGATGAAAGTTTACAGAGCAAGCTAGCTTCTCATTAAACAGTTAACATACATATTGTTTTGTGATATTAGTTGCCAACCCCGCAACATGTCAATACTCTCCCCTTCTTTACCTTAGGTTCCCCATTGCCAGCTTTCCTGTCCTCTCTCACCTTCTTGTCCTTGCCCCTGGGCTGGTGTGCCCATCTAGTTTTGTTTGTTTTATGGGCCTGTTTAATCCTTGGCTGAAGGGTGAACCTCAAGAGTGACTTTATTACTGAGATAAAAGAGTGTCTGGGGGCCATACTCTCGGGGTTTCTCCAGTCTCTGTCAGACCAGTAAGTCTAGTCTCTCTCTCTTTTTTTTTTTTTTTTTTTGTGAGTTAGAATTTTGATCTATGTTTTTCTCTAGTCCTGTCCAGGACCCTCTATTGCAATCCCTGTCAGAGCAGTCAGTGGTGGTAGCCAGGCACCATGTAGATGTGCTGGACTCAGTCTGGTGGAGGCTGTGTTACTTGTGGTCCATTGTTCCTTTGGACTAATCTTTCTTTTATGTCTTTGATTTTCTTCATTCTCCCTTGCTCCAGACAGAGTGAGACCTGTGGAGTATCTTAGATGGCCACTCATAAGCTTTTAAGACCCCAAACACTACTCACCAAAATAAAATGTAGAACATTTTCTTTATAAACTGTTATGCCGATTGAGCTAGATGTTCCCTGAAACCATGGTTCCCACAGCCCTTAGCCCAGTAATTTGGTCCCTCAGGAAGTTTGGATGTATCTATGGAGCTTCCACGACCTTGCCTTGGACAAGTTTTGCTGGCTTCCTCAGTATTGTGTACTGTCTTACCCTTCACCAAAATTACCACTTATCTATCGTCTAGTTAATGTTTTTTTCCTCCCTACCCGTCCCCTCCCTTGTAATCATCACAGATTCTTTCTTTTTGTGTATAAATCTTTTCATGAGTTTTTATAATAGTGGTCTCATACAATATTTGTTCTTTTGTGATTGACTTATTTCACTCAGCATAATGCCCCACAGATTAATCCATGTAATGAGATGCTTTGCAGATTCATCATTGCTCTTTATTGTTGCATACTATTCCATTGTGTGTATGTACTATAGTTTGTTTATCCATTCATCTGTTGTTGGGCACCTAGGTTGGTTCCATCTTTTTGTATTGTGAACAATGCTGCAAGAAACATGAGTGTGTGTCATGGATTGAATTATGTCCCCCCAAAAATGTGTGTATCAATATGACTGGGCCATGATTCCCAGTATTGTGGAGTTGTCCTCCATTTTGTGATTGTCATTTTATATTAAAGGAATTAAGGTGGGAATGTAACACCCTTATTAATGTCACATCCCTAATCCAATGTAAAGGGAGATTCCTGGGGATGTGACCTGCACTACCTTTTATCTTACAAGAGATAAAAGGAAACGGAAGCAAGCAGAGAGTTAGGGACCTCATACCACCAAGAAAGAACCCCAGGAGCAGAGCGCATCCTTTGGACCAAGGGTTCCTGTGCAGAGAAGTTCCCAGACCAGGGAAAGACTGATGTTCAAGGACCTTCCTCCGGAGCCAACAGAAAGTCTGCCCCTGGAGCTGGTGCCTTGTATTTGGACTTCTAGCCTACTGGACTTAGAGAGAATAAACTTCTCTTTACTAAAGCCATCCACTTGTGATATTTCTGTTATAGCAGCACTAGATGATTAAGACAGTGTGCATATGTCTATATGTGTGATGGTTCTTATTTATCTAGGATATATTACTAGAAGTGGGATTGCTGGATTATATAGTGTTTCTATTTCTAGTCTTTCAAGGAGGCACTATATAGTTTTCGAAAATGGTTGTGCCATTTTGCATTCCCACCAGCATTGCATAAGAGTTCCAATCTCCCTGCAGCCTCTCCAACATTTGTTATTTTCTGGTTTTTTGATTTGTGTCAGTAATACCAGGGTGAGATGGTATCTCATCGTGGTTTTGATTTGCATTTCTCTAATGACTAATGATCGTTAGCATTTCCTCATGTGTCTGTTAGCTGCTTGAATGTCTTATTTGGTGATGTGTCTGTTCATTTCCTTTGCTGTTTTTTAATTAGATTATTTGTCTTTTTGTTGTAGAGGTGTTGGATTTTCCCGTAGATTTTAGAGATCTGACCTTTGTTGAATTTGTCATAGCAGAAATTTTTTCCCAATCTCTAGGTTATCTTTTTACTCTTTTGGTGAAGTCTTTTGATGAGCATAAGTTTTTAGTTTTTAGAAGATCCCAGTTATCTAGCTTATCTTCTTGTGTTTTTGTATTGTTAGTTATGGTTTGTATACAGTTAATACTGTGTATTAGGGCCTCTAGCATTGACCCTATTTTTTTCTTCTATGTTCTTTATAGTTTTTGGTTTTATATTTGGGTCTTTGATCCATTTTGAATTAGTTTTTGTGTACGGTGTGAGGTATGGGTTGTGTTTCATCTTTTTGCAGATGGACATCCAGTTTTGCCAGCACCATTTTTTAAAAAGACCATGTTTTCCCCATTTGATGGACTTTGGGCCATTGTCAAAGATCAGGTGACTGTAGGTAGATGGATTTACATCTAGGTTCTCAGTTCAGTTCTATTGGTCAAAATATCTGTCATTGTACCAGTACCAGGCTATTTTGACTACCATAGCTATATAGTAGGTTCTGAGGTCAGGTAGTGCGAGTCCTCCTACTTTATTCTTTTTTTGCAATAGTGCTTTACTTATCCGAGACCTCTTCCCTTTCCATATGTCCTAGTCATCTAGTGCTGCTATAACTGAAACACCAAAAGTGGATGGCTTTAACGAAAAGAAATTTATTTCCTCACAGTAATGTAGGCTAAAAGTCCAAATTCAGGGTGTCAGCTCCATGGGATGTGTTCCTTTCTCTGGACTAGGAGCTTCTTCATGCAGGGACCCCAGGTCCAAAGGATACACCCTGCTCCCGGCACTGCTTCTTTTTTGGTGGTATGATGTACCCATGTCTCTCTGCTCACTTTTCTCTTTTATATCTTAAGAGATTGTCTCAGGACACAATTCAATCCTGTAGTTTGAGTCCTGCTTTACTAACACAACTGCCACCCATCCTCCCTCATTAACATCATAGAGGCAGGATTTACAACATATAGGACAATCACACAGTACCATAAATCATGGCTCAGCTGAATTGATAAGTATATTTTTGGGGGGACATAATTCAATCCATGATACATATAAAGTTAATGATTAGTTGTTCCATCTCTTTAAAGAATGCTGTTGGTATTTGCATCAGGATTGCATTGTATTTGTAGATTGCTTTTTATAGCATTGTCATTTTCACAATGTTGAGTCTACTTATTCATGAGCATGGTATGATTTTCTATTTATGTGGGTCTCTTTTGGTTTCTTGCAATAATGTTTTGTAATTTTATTTCTATAGGTCTTTTACTTCCCTGGTTAGATTTATTCCTAAAATGTATTTTATTTATTTAAGAGCTATTATAAATGGTATTGTTTTCATGATTTCCTTTTTGTCGTTCTCTTTACTGGTGTATAGGAATCCAACTGATTTTTGTATGTTTATCTTGTATCCTGCTACTCTGCTGAATCTTTCTATTAGTTCCAGTAGTTTTCTCATGGAGTGTTGTGGGTTTTCTATTGACAGTATCATATCATCAGCAAATAGGGATATTTTATTGCTTCTTTAACAATTTGGATGCCCTTTATTTCTTTCTGTTACTTTATTGCTCTAGCTAGGACTTTCATTTAGCACAATGTTAAATAGGAGTGGTGATAAAGGGCATCCTTGTCTTGTTCCTGTTCTCAAGGAGAATGTTTTCAGCCTCTCTCCATTAAGAATGATGTTGGCTGTTGGTTTTGTATAGACGCCTTTTATTATCTAGAAGACTTCCCTTCTATACCTATTTTAATGAGAGTTTTTATCAGGAATGGATGTTGGACTTTGTTGAATGCCTTTTCTGTGTCAATTAAGATGATTATGTGATTCTTTTATTTATGTGATGGATTACGTTGACTGATTTTCTAATGTTGAACCATCCTTGCATACCTGGTATGAGTCCCATTTGGTCATGGTGTATTATTTTTTTTTATATGATACTGAATTCTATTGGCTAGAATTTTGTTGAGAATTTTTGCATCTATATTCATGAGAGATATTGGTCTGTAATTTTCTTTTTTGTGGCATCTTTGCCTGGTTTTGGTATCAGGGTTATGCTGGCTTCA